AAACAAAGATACTTCTGCGATTAGAAAATTGGCAAAAGGAAATAAGTTAAAAATTGACCAGAGAGTTGTCGTATTTCCAGAGAATGATGATGATAAAGTGCCACTGAGGGGTAAAGTGCGGTACATATCTGAACGACTAGACAGCCATGGTGATTGTCCTGTTGGAATAGAACTCGTAAGTGTGATTTTACTCATGATCATTTTAGTTTGATTTGAACAATAATAAAATAATACGTATCCTACTCAAAGCTTTCACCGGCCTTGCTTGATATTGTTTTTATTGTTTTGATAAAGGATCGTAAAAAAGGAAAGGGAACTGGAGTGTTCAAAGGAAGACAACGATTTGTTTGTAAAGAAGGGTATGCATTGTTTATACCGGTGACTTCTGTCATCTCTGAGGAGGATTTTGATGGTGCAAGAACAGAGAATTCTCAAGAAACCTCGTCAAGTGAAACAGATGGCCTTCGTTCATCTATAGGAACTGATACCGGTACGTTTACTTCAGCCACAAACACAGTAAACTAGTATAAAACGTTCCGGCCTTGAAATKAATTGATTTCTATCGTCAGTGTTTTCGAATGAAACAATTCTTTTTACTCTGAGTACACGTGAACGGATTAGAAGTTAATGCATTCTGTCTCATTTGATGGTTGCGCTGTCCAAATCTGTTCGTCGACGCCCTATCACTAGCAGTTATTAGCGTTTAATGTGCGCGTTTAATGAGCTCGATAGTGCATTTTCACCAAACGTTTACAGCATCTTGTTTGCCTAGTAAATCTGGAAGATACGGTCCCTATGTCACAGAGAACGTTGACACTCGTGAAATCAAAAGTTATACCCTTACTTGACATGTTGAAAGTACCGAATCCGGGCAATGGAGCTGGGGGCGAGGGGGAGATTTAGGCAACCTGTTTTCAATCATTTTCAATAACGAAAATGTTTGCGCTGGTTAAAATCATTTTACTAGAGGGCTCTCACTTAATCAGTGCAATAGTACTAAGGTTGTTTTGCACAAAATARCACAAATTAGCTCAATATTTATTGTTTGATATATTGTTTCATCCGATGTTCAGTGAAGTACAGATTATTGCTTATATGCCCTTTGCATGATGGCGTAATTTTACAAGTACTACCACTATCAAGATGTTTCGCGAATTTTCTTTCTTATTTAAATTTGTATTTCCTCATGAGAATAGTAAGACAATTGGTGTTAATTAACTAAACAAAAATGTAGTAAATGAACTATTATGCAAGTGGCCTATTGGAAAATGAAAGATAAACCCAGTATATTCATGTATACTAGTATATTCATATGGTAAAATG